AACTGGTTAACGCTAGGTTTCGTCAGAACGTTCAGGCTTCTTCGATCACTCGCTCACCTTCGTTCCTATGGCGAGTAGCAGCGGTAGCAGCCACGAGTGGGGTGGCGACGATGACGATACCTTGTCTGTACGCATTTAAGAATCTGGCACGGCGCGAAGCTTTTCAATGCCATGATGCCGTGCCGAGTGGTTCGCAACCGCGTGTAGTGTCTATCCTAAGTGCGAATCTCTCTTCTCTCTCTCTCTCTTTCTCTCTCTCTCTTTCTCTCCTCTCTCCTCTCTTCTCTCTCTCTCTCTCTCTTCTCTCTCTTTCTCTCTGCTCTCTCTCTCCTCTCTCTCTCTCTCTCCTCTCTCGCTTCTTCTCGCGCGCGCTCTCTTGCTCTCTCGCTCTCTTCTCTCTCTCTCTCTCTCTCTCTCTGCTCTCTCTCTCTCCTCTCTCTCTCTCTCTCTCTCTCTCTCTCCTCTCTCTCTCTCTCGATTTCGCTGTCTTTTTCTCGTTCTCTCGCCTTTATCTTTCTTTATCTATTTATCTGTCTGTCTGTCTATCTATCTATCTATTCTATCTACTTCTATCTATCTTATCTATCTAGTCTATCTATCTATCTTCTATCTATCTATCTATCTATCTATCTATCATCTATCTATCTATCTATCTATCTATCTATCTATCTATCTATCTTATCTATCTATCTATCTATCTATTTATCTTATCATCTATCTAATCTATCTATTATCTATATCTATCTATCTATCTATCTATCTATCTATCTTATCTATCATAATCTATCTATCTATCTATCTATCTATCCTATCTATCTATCTATCTATCTATATCTATATATCTATCTATCTATATTACTCTATCTATTATCTATCTATCTATCTATCTATCTCTATCTATCTCTCTATCTATTTATCTATCTATTATCATATATATCATCTATTATCTATTCTATCTATCTATCTATCTATTATCTATCTATCTATCTATCATATCTATCTATCTATTATCTTCTATCATCTATCTATCTTCTACTCGTATCTATCTGTACTGTCTATCTACTCTGCCTCTCTCTAGCGCTCTCCTACCTCGCTCTCTCTTTCTTTTCTCTTTCTCTCCTCGCTCTCTCTCTTACGATCTCTCTCTCTTTCTCTCTTTCTCTCTCACCGCCTTTAGTCGTGTCTTTCTCGGCTACGGCCCAGTTCTTCTCTTTGTCGCTATAGCCTTACTATACCCATCTTCGCCCGCATCCCATAGTCATCCTTACTGCCGTCAGTAGCGCTACACTTCACGATGTCATCAATAGGTCAGACGATGCTGGAACCAACCGCACCGCCAGTAGAGCCGGACAGTAGCCGTACGTTCGTTACCACGTCGCCGTGTGTCGAAGAACAGTTAGCTTAGCGGTGACCACACCATGCGTGTGATCACACCACGTCAAACACCACGTCGCAGTGTGTCGGCAACGCGTAGCTTTACCGCAACCGTCCGTACGTCCGTCTCCCACGTTACCGTGCGAAGGAAAAGAACACCAGCAGTTCCGCGAACAGTACTTCACCCCGGTACCGTGCGAAGGAAAAGAACACGGCAGTTCAGCGCAACAGTACTTCACCCACGTTACCGTGCGAAGGAAAAGAACACCGGCAGTTCAGCGGAACATACTTCACCAACGTTGCAGTTGGCGAGAAGAACGCCAACAGCTCAAGCAACAGTACTTCACTCACGTTGCAGTGTGGCGGAGAAGAACACCAACAGTTCAGCGAACAGTACGTACTTCCCCACGTTGCAGTGTGGCGGGGAAGAAAGAAAACCAAGTTCTCCGCGCAAGCGTTCAGCTCAGACGCGTCATCAGCGTAGAAGTAAATTGCGGTGTGGTGCGAGTATACTGTGCGACACACACACACGGAGGTGCGCACGGTGAGCGGTGCGGTATACTCGTTCCCGCTATCGCACGTCAACAAAACCCGGCCGACGAGAGAGATACGTACACGTACCGTCGGCGGGTCGGAAATTCGGTATTTGGCAGATAATTCTGCTCGGGACCCCGTGCGAATCTAGGCCACGGGCGCGTTCTGCATAAGTGTAGACGTAGTCGGGTGCGAGCACGTGGTTATTCTCGCATAATTGTGACCTCCCAACGCATACCCCTCTCTCAGTTATCGAGAGCCAAGGTTAATATCGAGAGACATTATTTTCTTTGACCGATCCTCCTGGGTTGGGCTTCTCAGTGCGCATATTGTGGGTATTTGTGCGTGTACTCAAGAGCATATAATTATAAACTCTTGTCTGGGGTATTTATAAACCGTTTTGTCTGCGCGTTTATATACACACAATATATATATATATATACTATATATATATATCTATATATATATACAGATAGAAACCTTATATGAAGTTATATACTATATATATTATATATATATATATATTTATGTATATATGGAAACCATTATATGAGGTTAATATACAATGAAAGTATTATGGCGGGCTTATTACGCTCATGAGGCTGCAGTATTCAGACATCGCTATGAAGGATGCATCTAATTAGTTTATTAGTTAAACAATATCTGATTGACTCCGTTAGAATACAATGTACACCTGAATGTTTTAGGGTCGAGTTTACACGTGGCGCATGTGTGCCTATGTGTGTGTGTGTGTGGTTGTGTGTGTGTGTGTGTGTGTGTTTGTTTGTTTGTTTGATTGATTGTGTGTGCATGTGCATGTGTATGTGGTATGTGGATGCGCGCGTGTGGGTGCATGTGGGCGCGCGCATGTCGATGATTTGTGTGCGCGCGTGCAAGAATACTTCGCGCATTCGTCTCGTTCTCATGATTCTCTGCTATTTTCTCGGATTTATGTCGGATTTATTCTTGATTGCGGTAGGATTTATGATTCACGCGGTGATGTTTATTGCGCCATAGTAAACACTCGTGTGCCACTCTAGCAGCATAGGAGCAAGTCGATGATACAAATACCTTATTATCGTGTCTTCCAATCTCACCTTTGCGTATTATAGGTGAATTCAGGCGAGAAAGGTACATAGTTGCGATGTTATGGGAAGATAAGATGCGGAGGAGTGTTTCTCGTCACCGATCCTCAGCCCATGCAGCGTGTATATGATCTCGTCTTATGTTAGTTCTCACACGGGCATCGGGAATTTTCTCATTCCTCGTTTCTAGAGCGGATGAAATGCGTGTTCTGCGCCGAGATTTTTACACAGTTCTTCCAATTTCGTCAGCTTTTTTCAACAGTTATTGCATTTTAAAACCTAGTACATCACTGTCTACTGCAGACTCCACATATCAAACTAGCTAAGTACTAGTGAAATGACGGTGTCTGGCCTGTCTGTGCCACATACTTGTGTCGTCTCGTCCCGGAGTCCAGCTACTTGGCAGTTTATCATACGACCAGTCACCTTCGCGAGCGATATTGGAACCTGACCTTGGAATTTCGCTTCAAATCTCCCCGGCGTATGACTGCGATTCAGTAAGAGCAATATTTATGGCAAAATAGCATCATATCTAAAGTAAAACAACGCAAACTTAAAAATGTAAATTAACATAGAATTTAACAACGCTAAATCCAGTTTCCGATGGCAGCTTGACTTGGTGAAATTGGGAAATATCTTCAGTTATTGCTGGCGCACCTTATCCTTTTATCCCGCTTTACTCGCTCTGACTATCTACTAGTATCTACTAGTCCCCATGAATGCGGGGCAGTTCGTATAGCTTGCTGTTACTTTCACCCAGGCCATGCAGCATCAGTACCGGATATCACGGGGTCCACTGCCATCATATCTGTTATGCAAGAGAGAAAGAAAAGAAATGGGAGAGATTGTACGGGAGAGAGTTGGGTGTCCACTCGTGTTTGTCATACGGTCACCGCGTGCTGCACTCACCAGCGTGGCTTCGATCCGACGAGCGTCATCACCTTGAGAGCGATGCGCCGGTGCAAACTCCTGTGCTCGACAGCTATTGCCATCACCAACCCGCCGAGGAACAGCATGTTAGTGTCCTTCAAATACTGCATGGCGACCTTGCGCGACGTCAGCACGCCGAGCAGCGGGAACAGCACGGCTGGGATGAGGGAGGTCACCGCCAGGGGGAGCGCCTCCGTCATCCAGTATATCGCCATGACGATGATCGTGTAGGCGCATTTCGCTTCCTGCAATATATGTACAGGTGCGTGTTTTGAGGTGGTGAATTAAGAATTCATACGTTGACCCGTACACGAACGGCGTTCGTATTGACTAATTATTAACGCTAATTAAGCAAAATCGCTGGAATGTTATCGAATAATATTGTCCAAGCGTGGTTATTGCGATTATTCGTCTAAAACATTTATATAGAACTAGTCGTGTCGATTTTTACTTATATATGATAAATTCTTAAATCTACAATCATTTATTTTAATTATTATTAAAGTAATAATAATAGTTTTATTATATATAGTTAGTATTATATAATCAATGAAAATGGGCTAAAATAACAATAGCTGTTATATACCAGCCGTGAAATTTCGTGCCCTCATATCTCGTAATTAACTAACTGATATGATGAAAGAACCACCTATACCGTATAATACAGTCCCACCGTAGCTCTACTATCCTCAACAAATAGAGAAGATGGCGTTGATTAGATTCTTATCTTCCTTATTTATTTCTCCCCCCTCGCATTCTTACATCTCTTACATTTGCGCAAAATAACATCAATTTCGCCGCGATCGGACGTGATCCAGGTATAAGATCGCAAACATTTACACAGATATTCGTGAACGCACCCATGCATCATATCAGGAGTCTATTGATAGACTCCTGATCATATGCCGGCTTGTTTGCTCACGTTTGAAATATGGAAACAAACAACGTTTTCCTATGACGACGGATTCGATGGACCATGGGCCGTGCGATCGAGTATAAACACGAAGAAAGCAAACAGCAAGTGGCAGCAATGGTTCTCAGGTCGCAGCCAGGATAGCCAGGGGTCACCTTATCCAACACTCACAGTAATCTCAGAAGGTGAAATAAACACTTATCTCCTTTGTCCCGGCGACACGAAGATTACAAATGCGTCGCAAATTATACCGTTATTTCTCTCGCTTGCGACCGGTTGGTGATTGTGGCCCGTAAAGCCATTTCGCTGCGGCTAATCCAGTTATAAAGCTACGACTCTAGTTTGGTTATACGGCCAGCATTTAGTGACAGCGCATCCAGTGTCCTTGCTGCTGGCTGAGGTACATGAGAACGCCTGTTTCCCACGCATAACTATAATTATCTACATAGTACGTTTTAATTAACTACCATTCAAGTATAGTTTTAAGTATAATATTGCTCGCTACAATGATACTGAGATTATACTGATATATATTCACACCTATTTAAATCATCGCCGCATAACTTCCTACTATAGAGCTTCGTGATAGGAAATGAAACGAGTAGTCAGCATACAAGTGTCAATGTAAGCAGCGGGGCGCATGACAATCTACTGTATAAGCTGTATATTTCGCGGTGGTTTAATTTTCGCGAATTTCGCGAACGCGTCCCCGACCGCGAAAATAACAACACGCTAATTATTCATACCGAATAATACCGAATAATACATAATTCACCGACCGCGAATTTAACCACTCGCGAAATTGCCCGTCAAGTCTGAATTCGCGAAAATATCTGTACGCGAAAAATACGGCTTATCCAGTAATCGCACACTCTTCAGGTACTGCCCCGAGCCTTGCTGCACGATGTAGGCCTACGTGGCAAAGTACGAACGAACGAAAAAAAAAAACGAACGCACGACGAAAACAACGTGTTTTTATTCAATCATCATACTACCTATAACAATTAGTTATATACTATATACAACGAACGACGCCTAACCATCATGCCCACTAATAAATTTCTCGTTTACACACATCAATAAGAGCGTATTAAGAAGCGTACCTTCTTAATACGCTCTCGTCATCAACTGTTCACATTAAATGGTGAATCCACAGGAACGTGTATACCAAAATATACTAGCTAATGCGTAGAACGGTGTATGCAGTAACTGTTGTTAGGTGTCCTTTGTTATCACGCACCACGGCCTCTGTGGTCGAGAAGCAACATGTACTCGTGTGTAATTGCAGCACTGCGTACGTGATTAAACACGTGTACTACGTGGGCGACTGTTATAACTCACGGTCACCCCCTGCCACGTACTCTTCCACCCACCCTGACCTTTCCTCGTTTAGCTCCCTCCGCCTCTCTCTCTATCTCTTTCTCTTTCTTTCTCTCTCCCTCTCTTCTCTCTTCCCTCTCGCTCTCTCTCCGGTATACCCTATGCAGACAAACAAGTACGGCACACGCGCGCCAACAAGTAGCCCTACGCACAACAGCGCATGCATATACGACGCACAACACGGGCGCAGTGCAACACACACAACACATACACAAACACACACACACACACACAACACACCACACAACACATAACAACACACACACACCACACACACAATCACCAACACCAACAGAGAAGCAAACAAAACACACCACACACACATACACACACACAAACACCACACACCACCACCACAGAGAGAGAGACAAAACACACAACACACACACACGACAACAATACACAGCACACACACAACACACACACACACACACACAAACAGCACACACACAGAGAGACACAACACACAACCACAACACACACACACGCACACACACAACCACAACACACCACACACACACAGAGGAGAGAGAGAGAAGACACACACAAACACACACACACACACACACAACACACACACCACACAACACACACCCGGGTGACTCCGTCCAAGACCTGTCCGTCACGATCTCTATACGAAGCTGTGCACGCCGCGGCACGAGCATGACCAGGGCGAGGCACGTGCCTAAATACAGGATGGCCGCCGGCGGCTTCGCGACGCTAAACTGTATGGGTTTTAGTTAATTACAATATTTTTAAACGCTCGGCGCACCATAAATAGAAGTGCCAGGAACTCGGCGTGTGCTGTGTGTGGGTGAGAGAGCGGGGGAGAGCAAAGAGGGCGGAGGAGAAAGAGAGAGGGAGATAACGAGAAGGGAAAGATACCGCGCGGCGCACGCAACGCGCACACTTAGACATACACACACAGCACGCACCACGGCACGCACGCACCGCACGAACGACGAACGCACGCACCGCACCCACGCGCGCGACAACACACACACACACACACACACACACTATATATATATATATATATAGATATATATATATATATACATAATATATACGTATAAATATAGCCCGTGCTCACGCTCTCTATAACCCGCTCGTTCCGCATACGCGCGTATACATTTGTTTTTATACATAAATATACATACATGATCACCGCATTCGGCTGCACGCTACGCCCCCACGTCGGTAAGCTAGATATATATATATATACCAACGTGCCGACGACCGACTGCATGAATAAAACATGCGGCCACCTGAATGGACGCGCGCGCGCGCATTTTGATATCAAAGCGAGATAAATATTGACAGGGATGACGGAGGAGCAGGGGTGGAGACATTACTATTCGGTGGGCCGTGCCTCTCGCCGGATAGATGTGCCACGCCCTTTTCTTGTCTGTAATTAACGGCACGTGTGAGATACCCAGCGGGCACGCGAGGTCGGGTGAGGGTGGGTGGAGTGGGTGGGGTGCGACGGACACGGGGGTGCCCGCTAAACAATGTTTAATATCAATTGTGTTATAACCCTCTTCCCCTCTCTCGCTCTCTCTCTCTTTCTCTCT